GGCGCGGCCCACAGGCTTGCCCGGGGAGGGCACCGTCTGCTCGCGCTGAATCCCGGAAAAGCCCTTGGGAGCTAGAGCGGTCTTGTTGCCTTTCTTAGCGTGGCCGTGCTTCTAACGCCTGCAATAAGCTAGGAGAGAGTGAAAAGAAGGCAAACACAAGAGGGTATGATGCGACAACTGCATCCAGGCTGTCCCAAGCAGAGCATCGTGTCTAATCTCATACCCTCTACGTTGAGATTTACATGACTCAATAGTTTGCATCCACTTCAGCTACTCCGAATGACTTCATGTGAAAGGGAGAGATGGGTACATTTGGACACAATTTATCCTCTGCTAGAACAGAGCCAGGTGCCTTGTGTCAGGGTTGTGGGCATCTGGAGCTGGGTGAGTTGTGTTCCTTTCCTGAGAAAATGATGTACGGGGAAATGGTTTTATCTTGTAAGCCTAAAAAATGGATGCTTCTCTCAGAACTCTGCTCAAGCATGCCCTGTGTGTATGCCTGAGAGAAAATGCTGGACTGACCATGGCACTTGCTTGTGCTTTTTTCTTTCTCTGGTAGAAAACCCAGGAAGTGTGTGGGCCCCTTTTTTAAAGGCTCTTTGGATGTAGTGCTTAACTGAAAATTACTGTGTTAAGGGATAATTCGGTATAAAATGCTTGTTTCATAAAGCACTTCATTTATTTGATACAAAAGCAACAATGTTATTTTTCCTGTTTGTTTAGAGGTGGGATAACCCATAATCAGAACTCAGACGCCTTTAAAATTGACTGAGTAGCATTTTCGTTATGCGCGTTCACTGCTGCATGTTTTGGTTGTAGAACCAAAGCCTTACTTTGCCAAGCAGCCTCAGAATAGCCGGTAATAGAATCTGCCTGCTTTGCTTCCCTGGGGTTATCAGCGCTATGAAGCAGTAAAATTTAGTTTGTGGTAAAACTGATTTGCAAATATACAAAACAAAGTTAAGAACTTGGTAAGAAAGTGGCATTTGTATATAATTCACTTGTAGGGTAAAAATGTGGTTTCAGATGTTCTTTTCCCCCAAGTTATGTGAAAACAAAGCCTGTTTTTATTTTGAAAAACTTTCCACTTTTATGCTAGAATATTATAAAAAAGGATTGTAAGTACATTTTTGTTGCATGTACTTATAAATGATTAGTTACAGAAAATTAACTTGATACTATATATTTTTTTCCTGTTAGACTTTCGTTTGATTCTATATGAAGCTTCACGGTTGGAAGACATGCAAACCATCTCAGGTTATACTCAAGTAGAGCCTGAAGACATGCGAGAAGGAATGCCAGGTATGCCAGGTAGGCCTTTATTTTTTTTTTTTTAACTACCTGAGTTAAGATGGTTTTGAGAATACTTGTGTTTGAACTGCAGATTTTGATAATAGTGAGTTTGTCAAATATAACTTAAAATAGAAAATGAAAGGAAAAAAGCCATGTTGAAATAAAGTCTAAAAGTCTTTATACAGACTCCTGGAACATTTTGTTGGTCTGCTGAGAAGTCCTATATCCAAGATCCTACAGAAGTCTAATATTTCAGAAATAGATTATTTTTCAGAACAAATCCCTGAGGTAAAGTGAAGTATAACAGTCTTAAGAGTGTTGTTCCCACAGGGAATCAGCTTTGTCATACCCCTCTCTGTTTGGACCAACAAAGTAAATCATCACAAGAGAAAGTTTTAAGATTGTCATTTATTTATGGAGGAGGATTCACGTGGTATGGTTGAACCTAGTCATTCAAACTGTGATGCCCCTATCCTGAAGACTAAATCGGAAAAGTCACTGGGAGGGGAGACTTGTAGGAAAATAAGTTTCTCAAATGCAGAGATGTGTGTGTACCTCTTGATACCTAAAGTTCTGTTGGCATTACAGAAAATTAAAAGGTGATAGCATCATCTACAGCAGAGAATAAGAGAGAGTATCTTCTTTGAATTTATTAGAGAGGTGGTATTATGACTTACGAAAAAATATCCTTGGAATTATTTAATGTAACATAGTCATACACGTGCCTTATAAAAAGTAAAATTTGGAAACGTGCACAAGTTTTGAAAATATTAATATAGTTGTATTTCAAGTGGTCGTTGATACATTGGGAACTTAATTTTTGCAGGGGAGCTTTATTAGTATTAGGTCTCAGGTAGCTATTTGTTTAATTATTGTATGAATTTGAAGTCTGATACAGATGCAAAAGCGTTAAAACGTTTGGAATAATGAGTAGTGGTTTCAGTCTCTTGATGTTGACAAATTGAGTATCCGATCCTGTTTTGAGTAGGAAAACTGCCAGCGGAGGTGTGGTTTTATGAGAGAAGTTTGGTATAATATTCAGCTTTTTTTGCTTGCTTTATATAGGAGACAGTTGTCTGTGTATATGGTTTATTCCACTACTGTATTGAAAAAATGATGCAAAATACGCATAACACAAATTATTAGCATTAATTTATTAATATAAATTATTTTTATTTCCCTGGGAAAACATTACTAAAACATTTTTTGAATTTGAGCTGTTGTTTTTTCGCCTTTACACTGAAGTATTGATTTTGTTCCCATTTAACTTTGTTTCCTCCTGTCAAAATAACAATGTGTGGTGGTTTGCTGTGTTTACCAAAAGGCTGGTTTTAGTTGGAAGACAACAATGAAAATTCTGGAGATGTGTGGTGTTGGAAGTGTTTTTAAGTATCCCGTGGTTAATTATAGTTATGTAATACATGCTTATAAATATCTTGAGGAGTGTAAAATAATAAGCTAGGCTGCTAGCCATCTAGGCTAGTAACAGAAGGATGGATGGTAGGTATAGAAGGAGAAAGAGCGACATAAAAAACAAGACACTGTGAAGGACAAAAAACAATCAAGACTTAGCAAGCAAAAAAAAAAATCCCTTTTAAAAGTTAAGTCACAATTTTCTTGGAGCACATTGTGTGTTCATCTCCTACCATACATTGTACGGGCATATTCTGAGACCTCATTATTTCAGTGGTGCTCTGTGTATTGCCCCCTCCAAGTCAGTATGGAAGCTTTCCTATATTAACCTAGTTGGAAAAATTGAAACCTAACTCTGTTGGGGGTCTGGCGGCTGCAGGGAATGAGAATGTCCTTATTAGAAGGTGTCACTCAGTAGAAGCCTTAGAAACCTGATGGACTGACCTTATACGCAAGATGAGTTTTTTTTTGGTTTGTTTGTTTTTTAAATAAAAGTGTTTTTCCTGAAGGGTTTGTCAGTATTTGGAAAACTGTTCTTCACTAGTAATTAATGTATTATTGTTAGTCTTTGAACCTCTGAAATATTTTAATTTCTTGAATAATTTGTGATATTGACACAGATTTACCTAGTAGGATGGAATACTGTGTATTTAAAGTATGTGGTGCATGACTATTTTATATGGTGTTTATTGGACCAGATATGAGTTGAGACAGGATGCTGAGCAGTTCTTTGAAGATAATAACATAAGGTCTTTTTGCCCACTTGTCTGAGAGAAGATGATTTCCAGGATTACAGCTAAAATCCTGTTATGAGGGTTGAAAGCCATGAACCGTGTTCTGGTTATCTTTTTACATTAATGGGCGTTTGGACCAGTGCAGTGCTTTACTGTTGCATGAAACTGGGGCTGAGAAATCTCTTAAAAGTTGTGAACGAGCTATTTGAGCTTTAATGAAAAATGTGAATTTTTCCTTCCAATGGATTGGTCATCTTGGGCAGAAGCAGGCATTGGAGTAAGTTGCCTTTTAAAATAGCTAGCTGAGGGACTTCCTTTGGGGTTTCAGGTTTTTCCCATTTTGTTTTCTGTTCCAAAGTTATCATCCTAAAATCTGTAGAAAAGAGCAGAGGCGTATTTGCAGTATTATTCTCAATGTCTAGAGGATGTTCTTACATCTGTTCTGCAAATGCAATCTGAAAGATATTCTGTCATATCTGCTTTATATGCACAAATGAGTTTACGCTTTTGTGTGTACTTGTGTTTATTTGGCAATGTTGTTATTTCTGATACAGAATACTACTTTGTTTTCAAAGTGGGATCTGAAAGCAAATGCTGAATCTCAGCAAGATTCTTGTGAATCAGATATTTTCACTGCTGTGTCAACAGATTGAACAATACATCAATTACCGGTTCAAGGCAAGTGTGTTTTTTTCAAGTCTGTAGTGCACTCCTGTTTAAGATACTGTTGCCTGCTAGACTGTGACGAATGTAAAGTATACGTCCTTATCTCAGTTCCTGTGCAAATTCCGCAGAAGCTTTGCAATGGGATCTTATGTGGGGTAGAGCTTTGAGATGGATTTCCCTGGACATCTTATAGTGAGTTCCCCTAAGAACAGAAGAGCTTTCCAAGTTTAGAAAAAAAAAACACACACACACACACACACAACTCAAAGTGACTCAGGAAGGCAAAACAGAAAAAAACACATCATAAATCCATTGTATTCTGGCGGTGAAGGTTCTTGTTTGCAGGTTTGATTTCAGCTAGTCAGTGCTGCCCCTGCAAACACTCTCTAGTCTGTAGGAAGCATCTCTTTCTGTCACTCATGCGGTGTGGTGGTGCGTGCGCTCCCTGCTCATCTCTGCGAGGTCTGTCTGAACTGCAGGCCCCAGCTCCTTCCTGAACTCTTGCCTTAGCACTTTCTCCTACCCTAACGTCTGAAAGTTTCGCTCCTCCCATGCGGGCTAAGTTGCTTCCCCTCTTCAGAGCAACACTCCTTATGTGTTTTTTTTCTTTTTTTTTTGTTTTGTTTTCCTATTTTCATTTTTTTCATTTTTTCCCCTTTCTTTTTTCTTTTTTACTTTGAAGTAAATTAAGAGCAAGTAATTAAAATAGATCCTGCCTATCACAACTTGCACTGTTATTGCTCGTTTACCGGTATAGTTTATTAGAATGAACGACAACTAGAACAAACTTGGAACAAAACTAAATGACACTGGTAGAACACTAAACCAAATTCATGATATCTAAGTTTCTCTTATAATAATAAAAGAAGCCTTGCATCTGATCAAGGTAGGCAGAGAAGCGTGAAATGCAAAGTCACCATTTTCCAGTTTTGGTGCTTCTGCGTAACAGACTGGTTTCTTGTTAAGAAAAGCCGTTCCCTACATGATTACTGTTCCAAGGGCCTCTCTAGCGATGTTAAACACCTGGCATTCTGGCTAGGATCTTTACAGCTCCCTTCATCGGTCTGAGCTGTAGAATTTTAAATATATGTACCAGTAGTTCTACGTTTGCTCTTTATTTTTTCTGGTCGGTTACTTACAGCGTGCTTTGTGTGACAGTTCATTCTGGTTTTAAAGTAGTTCACAAGTTTTTTACCTGTACTGAAGAGAAAGAGATACAAAGAATCTTAGCTTCTTTCCACTCTAAGAGTTTTCCAGTGGTTTGTCATAGTTTTGTCTTCCCTTTAAATTTGAGTTTATTATGGTAGAGCAGAGCTAACTGTTAAAAGTGAAGTTCTGTTTTCTCTGCCTTTGAAGTATGCCAGAGAATAAAATACCACTGGCCTTTTTGGCTTGCTGGTATCAAACTCTTGATTACTTTCTTTATAGCCTCTTAGAGGTGTGTGAGAAACTTGTCTACTTTTTGATCTCAAACAACTACGAAAAGTACCATGTTAACAGTTCCTCATCATTTAAAATCTCCTCTGCTCTGTTTTCTTTGTAGCCGTTCCTCAGTTGTTTCTAATAATTACCAGGAAAAACTTTTTCTTGCCTCTCTAGTTCATGAAATGCAAAACAGATAGCTCTGTCAGAGCTTTTGCAGCTGAGAATGTCATTTAACTGTTGAAATAATAATAATAAATAATAATTTACCTCTTAAACTACTCCATTTCAGTTGATATTGCACACCTGTATTGAGAAAGGGACTGCAGAATTTTGTGGTCATTGTCAAGGAGTGCAACTGATTTTTCGAAACGGCAAAACATGTGCTGCGATAGAAATAGCTTCCACTCAGCTCTCTTCCTCTGCCTGTCTGTATCTGCTTTCCTTCCCTGAGAGGGTTCGTAAGAAGTCTTGATAGAAGCTGCACTTTCATATTTTGCTTGCACTAAGGAAACTGCCTGAGTATCCAGAGTTTTTTTTCCTTTTTACTGTGTTTTCTTGAAAGAGGTGAGGCTTTCTGCTCTCTCTGTCCATCTGTCTGCTGTGCCCTCTCCTTTGCCAAAAGCCATAGGCCAATTTCAGCCAAACTTTAAGCTGAATTCTTTTGTAAAAATGGGTGGCTGGGGGGAGAGGAAACCCAAATGAGCGCTTCCCGCTGTAGAGGCGCATACAGAACTCATAGGTAAACCTTTCATTACGCAGCAGCCAGCAGGGCAGGCGGTATGCACGCTGTACTGCTGTTTTGCAGACAATGTGACGGGCAGACAGACAAGTAGGGTTATTTTGGAGGAGTGCATACGTAAGGAGACAAAGGACATACATCATATTTAACTTCTAGATTATTAATAATACACTGCAGAGAGCTGAGCTCTCCTCAGATGGGAATGTATTTTAGTAAATGATTTCTACTCCGCTGTGTAATGGCTGAGCCTTTCTTGATAATAAGAAAGTTGATGTTAATTCCTCCTTTTAGACAAAAGAACTCATAAATTTCTTTGTGACTAGGCTTCAGTGAGGTGACTTTGTCTGTGGTAACTAACAGAATAATAAGGCTACCAAAGCCCAAGGGAGGATATAGAATTTCTTCAACACATGAAAATCCAAGACCAAGCAAAGATAGTTTAGGTGAGTTTATCCATACATTAGACTGAAAGGATGAGGAAGGTAAAAATTTGACAAAATCTTTTTCTACAAAATGTGAGCAAGAGATAAGAAACTATTCCATATTTCTGTATTCTTCCTTATCGGAAATCAGATTCTAGCCTTGGCTGTCTCCTTTCAGTGCAGAGGCAGCTGCTCACCTGGATTGTAGGTGAGTTTAGTGGATGATCCAGTCTCTTCCTATCCTATATTAGTCCCCTGGCAGTTGTAACGGTAGGTGCAAGTCACACATTTTACAGTGAGGTAGCAATTTACTAGCTCAGTATTACTATAACTGTAGGTGGTGGCCCCTGAAGACTCTACAGGTAGAGTTGAGTTTTTTCCATTAAAACAAGGTTTAGTGTGTTTGACAAAAGTAAAGCTAGTAACTTTACATGAATTAATTAATTAGGGAGGGGCTTGGTTGTCTGGGACAGAAGTACTGTTGAATAACAGCTCAAAAGTATGTATGCCAGTATAAACAGAATTATGTGGACTCCTGTTGAGAAAACAGTTCATCAGAAAACAGCTGATGTTGAGAAAACAGTTCTGCTACTGTCTGATGTGCCTTTTCAGAATTGTCTAGGATTTCGGAAAAAAAAAATCAACTACTTGCTAGAAAAGAACCTGGCTCTTATTTTTCAGATGCTAGTTTTAACATACTTTACTTTTCGCTCTTTGAAGTGTTTATACTTACAGAATATTTTGTACGTATGTATGTAAGATACTAAGCTTTAAGATTCTAAACGCTAAACTCCTTCCACAGGCACAATGCATTCATCTACAAAAGGAACTAATATCTGTACAGCAGCCAAAGGGACTCCTACTGGCGCAACAGAAGAAAAATGCAAGAATTTGTAGAAACAGTGAGAAGGTAATCCACAGTGTATGAGAGGCAGTATAAGAATGCTGAAAAGTTGCTTTGTTCCTTAACTTGAAATCAAGTAATTATTAGTGCAAGAGCTTTCAGCTGTTTATTGGTGGTGTTTTTTATACTGGTGAGGCTCTTTATTGGAAGCAAAGGAAACCTGCTTTTTTTATTCCCAGAGTCTCCCATGTGTATGTGGCTGTGCAGGTGAGGTGTGGCTGTTGCAAGTGCCAGTGAGCTGCTGGGAGGCAACCAGGGAGCGAGGTGCAGCGTCCCCCTCAAGCTGTGTTAGATGTGCTTAGAGCAGCTGCACCAGGTGTCTTGACAGCTTGAAGGTGCAGGAAGGGGGTCACTATTAACTGCTGAAATACTAATCAGCCAGTCAATCAGCTCTAGTAGTAGAAAGTCATGCTGTGGGCATTGTGCTTTTCAGGTGCTAAAAGAAAACAAAGCCTGACTGCTTTTATTTGCTAGAGCTTTAGCTTTAAGCTCCTTACCAAATCCTGCTTTTTGGTAACTAAAGTCTCCTAAGAAAGAACACTGCTGTTTGTTAACCAACCATACAAGTTGTGTGGTTCACTTCAGAGGTGTGTGATTAGAGCATTTTTGTAGTAACAGGTCTGCCTTTTTTTTTTTCTTGATGAAGAAAAAATCTCAATGATTAATGAAGGTACATCAGCACTAATGTATCTTTGAATCTGCTTTTGAGAGGTTACAAAATAGGCCCACGGAATGGTTCCAATTAGACCTATTTAATATGACTTCTGATGCAAAATTTATAATCATTCATGCATTTGCAAAAACTGTTTTACATGCATATCACTTATTTGCTACATAAAATGATTTTTATTTACTAATAAAAATTTAACTTTTTTTGCCTTTGTTTCAGAAAGAATCATGTAACAGAATAATCCAACTTGGAAGAAGAGCCTTCCTAAATAGAAAATTAGATTCTGGCACTCGGGCCATCGGAGAGCTAAATCTTGTGAAGCTGCAGCATGTTCAGGAACAAGGCAAGTGAACTGCAGATACTTTACAGGCAAACGTAAGACTTCATAATAGTACATAAATAAACTGCCTGGAAAACAGGGGATAGTGTAGAAGATTTGAACAATTAGAGAACGCTCTCTTGAGGAAAGACATTTCTATACCATACATTCACTGCACTGCACTTCATTCTGTTTAAGTAGAGGTATTTTTTCTATTGCATTAGTGTGAAACTTGACCTGTAGACTCCCACTTCTCATTTAAATTGCAGCCTGGCAATTCTGGATGCTGTCCTGCTGATAGCCATAAATGTTGTAAAAGGGCTAAAAGTATCAAACATGATTTTGAGTTTGTTTTTAGCTAGACCGTGGTAGACATTACTTTTAATGATTATACTACAATTTGATGTTAGAGTTGTTTATGTAATCATGCTAGATGAGTTCAGCATGCAGGCAGAAGTATGCTTAAGTGTTGTTCTAGGCTTTCACCATTTTAATCTGACTGTAGGTAGGATCTGTTCATCGCGTTTCATGTGCAGCAGTGTTATCTACATGTGGGTAAAGAAAAGGGCGGGGGCAGGCTATTCCTTTTTCCTTTTGCAAGGGAGCACAGCCAGCTGTTGGTATAAACTTCTGCGTCTCCTGAAAACTGACCTGAAGTTTTATATGCCTTTTTTTCAGATCAGAATTTGGTTGCTGATCACGTGGTTTCACAATCAACTGTTGTACACCTCTCAAACTACAGCGTATTTGAGTGCATTGTAAATAATTGTGTTAAGTCTTACCTAAGAAAAAGTTTGAGCAGACAACTTACTTACTTACTTACATACAAAGCTGATTTTTTTTTTTTTAGTTTGACTATCAATCATGTACAGTAAAAATGCCTCAATGATAGTGCCCTTACACACATGCGTATCACTCCTTTTCAGTATGTACATTGCTTAGATGTTTTAATGGTAAGCGAAATTTGAGATGTCTAAGACTAGAGTGACGAGTTGGTTCGTCCAGCTTACAAAGTGAATCCTTTGAACACCCAGGGCAGGACGAGGAAAGCGTACTGCAAGCGTCCAGTCTGCTCGTAACGTTACAAGAATGATGTTTCATTTGCCAAGGACCAGACTAAGCCGGTTAGTTAGGATCCAGTTTTAACCTCATGTTATTTGCAAGAAAGGACTAATTGTGTTTTTCCTGCTTTAGGAACATCACCGTAGTGCAAGAATTACGATGAAGAAGTGGAAAGCTCTGAAAACAAAAGCACCTTGTTCTGGACATGGAAAATATCGGTGGTCTGGTTAAAAACTAAGCTAGCAGCACCTCCGCCAGTACTGAGATGGCTGACCAAGGTGAAGAGGTCAGGTGGTCACCGCAACTGAGCAATGCAGTAGACCAGCCCAGAGCCTGCCTGCCTCATTACAGTCACAGCTGGGGCAGCTGTCTCTGCTGTGCCTCAGCCCCTCCTCAGGCAGCGCTCCGGAGCCAGCAGGTAACTCCAGGGAGTAAACCTGTAAGCACTACTTAGCCCTGCAGCAGATTCCAGCTACAAGGAGTTTTGGTAAGTGTCTTTTTACTACTTCTAATGCTAGGTGGGCGAGGGAGGAATCAGTCTTCTCTGGGTGGCTGCTGTGTATGCCTACTGCCAGCAATAATGTCACAGCAAACAGTGTAGCGTCACTCTTCGAGGTAGGGCATAACACCCACTATAGTATGCTAACTGATAAATATTGCCCTTGCATTTCCCAACGACAAACTAATTAAAGACGGTGTTAAGAAATACAAAGATATGGAGCATAATACGTATGTACAATTTATTTAAAATACTTTAACATACATTAAAAAAACCCTCACTATTTATACAATCTAAGTTCTAGCAACATATACAAATACTGAGCAACTACAATATGTGCTGAGGTAAGAATGTACATTCTGGGAGAATACTCAAGCCATTTTCATTCCAAACAAGGTTGAAATGCATTTTATATCTGTATTTTTTTCATATGTAAAAGAAAGAGACTCATTAAGTGTACCTATGCTTGTATTGTACATGGGAAAATGCTAATCTTAGGTGTGTCATATGCAGCTTACACTTGTGAATCAACGTTTAGCAGTTCATACATTTTATACCCAACTCCTATGTATTCAACCGTATCTCCTTACCCCTAATAGATAAAATGTTCAAACTTAAAAGCAGGGAGCAAAGCTTAAGACCAACTCCTTTCATAAGAAGAACTAATATTCTTAAACAGCCATTTCAGTCAACAGTTCACACTGTTCAGATAATGAAACTGTATTAAGGTTGCTTCAAAAATAACCCAGTCCGCTGTAGAGAAACTGTTTTAAGTCTCATACCATCTTAGCCTACAGTGTACCTGTAAGTTATACCATACCTGACCTACAGTAAAAATTAAATGCAGGTTTCCAAGAGTCTTATTTTTCCTGCCTCAAACATATCTATTTATTTTTATGGCAGATTAGCCTAAACAGGTATGGTTTGATAAAGCAGGCGTTTCTTCACCTGGCTAGAAACAAGTCACATCTTGACGCAAAGAAATAACCTTCCACCTCTTTCTTTCAAATAAAATCAGCTCAGTTAATTTCAAAGTCATAGTTACTACTGATGGGTAAGAACAATGTTAACATTTTTAAGCAAAACTACAAAGCTTGCAAACTAGCTTTCTCAGAGTAAGTTGCAATAGTATCAAAAAATACAACTATAGGCAGGAATTTCCTTTTCATGAATTGGTCTTGTATACCACCCCTTACTTGCAAATTCACAGTTAGGCACTAGACACCCAATTCTTAAAAAAAAAAAAAAAAAAAATCATTCTCATGATGGAAAAATTGTAGAAGTAGGCTTTAAAGAAGTACAGCATATGTAATAATGTATTCTAGATGTTGAATAGGCCACAAATAACGTTGCATTACAGAGTTACAGCTTCTGTGCAAACAAATTTTCAAGTGGTAAGTTAGAATACTGTACTGGTATAAGCATGTAATGGCAGTCATCTTTAACAATATTTTAGTTTCTATTATTTGGATGTTATCCATCCAGTACATGGACCATGGGCAGTAAACAAGGCTCACTTGAATTACATCACAGAAAAATAAAACAACAACAGTAAAAGTCCATAAAACTGGGCTAACGTATAAGTAAGGGTTTTCACATTTGTAAGTTAATTCAGCATCCTCCCAACAGTGCTGTTACAATAAAAATGGCTTTATTTTTAAGAGCTTCTTCTACTACTTGTTTAAATTAAAAAAGCTGTGCTTTCTTTCTAACAAGATAAAAAATGGCAAGTGTGAGATCCAAATTCTTTTCATTTAGGTGATCACCTAGATAAAACTAGTCTATGTTATCTCAAATGAAAACTGCAGTGTCCTCATAGTAGAGGAAACTGGAACATTCAAAGGTTATATATGCAATTAAATGCTTCTGTAATTGATACACTTTGAAACAAGCTGCATCTCTTGCAAAGGTTTTGAAATCCTTTATACTTCTAAATAAGGAACAATCATAAAAAAGAGCCCTAGGGCCAAGTTTTCCATTTGTGCTAAAATGTACCATATGTGCTAAATGCGTGTATAACAAACAAACACCAGCGTTACGCACCATTAGAATACTTGTGTGCTTCCTTATGCACGCACAGAATTATATACATATCTTTCTTTGTATATGCTTACATCTTAAAACACACAACAATAGATATTAACTGACGGGATAAAAAAAAAAAAAAACACACCTCTCAAACTTGGTCACCTTGAAGACCTGGAAGCTTCTTTCTTGCAGACTGACCGCTTGGGGAAGTTTGAGTTCAAGGCAGACACTATTCAGAGTAGCCTTCACTTACTTACTTACTTACTTACTTGGGAAAACGTGAAAGCAATTGTCATGTAGTTTCCTTTTAAGACTTAGTCTGTGCCTACTGTATCTCTAGAAAGGACCAGGACCCTGCTGGAGCAGGGAGGTTGGACTAGATGATCTCCAGAGGTCCCTTCCAACCTCCACCATTCTGTGATTCTGTGAGCAGATGGAGAAGACTACAAATTGCACAGCTAGAAGATTCTAGTTTTAGAAAGATAACCAAAATGGTAGGAAAAGCCTGTGAGGAACACACACCTGCTGATTCCTAATCCCGTGAACAAAAGTTGGAATAATGTAATTTAGCATCAAGGCCACTTTGCCAGGAAGGTGTGTGGTTTTTTTTGGTTTTTTTTTTTTGCCATCAGTTCCCAACAGTGTTTTTTTTCAAAACACTCTCCCAACACTTTTTTTTTTTTTTTCCAAAAAAGGTCATAGTTGTGTGGCTATTTTATAGGGGAAAGTGAATTTTAGAAGCTATAGTGCTTACATATAGATTTTAGGAGATTCTTTTTTTTTTTAAGGAATAGTACCATTAGCAAAACCTATATTATTGACCTTCGTACTTAAAGCTGTTTCTCCCAATTTATAATTCACATCTATGTGTTGCTGACGTTAACCTTCAAAAGTCTTTCTCTCATGTCTGACAGATTATTGTACAGTAGTAAAAAAGTCAGTCAGTCAGTCAGTCCATGGTTTTGAAGGAGACAAGCTGTAGTTATAGACCTCATACCTCCAATAACACATTTTTTTGGTTCAACTGTATTATTTAAGACAAATAATATTAATGTGATTAAAAAGAAACTATGAGCTTTTAGGAGCTGGCTTTTAAAAACAAGCCACTTTTGCCGTCATCCTGCCTTACGCATGAGCTAACTCAGTTTGTCTTTACTCCCAGTAGACTGGGGCATGCTCTGTGGAACCTGGTACACCAACTCGTCTGCAGCACCTGGTCCCGGCTGCCCCTTTGGTGTATCGTACAGCGCCTGAGCTGATGAGGAACTCTCTGTCCTAGATAAGAGTTTATTATAAGTTCCTGCTAGTGGTGGAGCTTGATTCCCTGCAGCTTTGAAGGTGGAAATAGAAGAAAGAGGTGTGCTGGGGTGACTGGACATGTCCATGATTATTGGCGTTGCATATTCCGGTCCAGTTATAGGTAGTGGTTCGGCATAAGCATGATAAACTTCTTGTATAGGTGAATTGTAAGGGTCCAGATCAGCGTAACTTGCTTCTTTCCCTTCCTCTGGCTTAAACGTTGATCTCTGATGGAGCGTGCTGACAACTCCCCCTACCAGCGGCTGAGCATACTCTGTGTAACAAGCCCCAACAAAACAAAATACAAATACACTTACTTAATGGAGAGTTTTTGTGTGTTTGTGTGTTTGTTTTTCCAGTGGCAGCGCATTAAATAAATCCTATGAACAGCGTCACAGAAGTTATAATCCTAGATCAAACCACTGGGCTCTCTCTGCTAGTGCCGGGTGCTTCAGAAAAAAAAATACTCAGTCCTAAGCTGCTGGATAGCTTCTGCTACAAGATCCTGATTTCTCAAGTTTGTAACGCTTTTTCCCATGTAAGCTGCAACTTCCCATGATGCAAGTCTGCCTCAAAGCAAACTTTTTTTTTTTTTTTTTTGAAACTTGCTTCCCTGGAAAATTTGAATTAAATGAAATTATCCTGGCTGCCTTTGGCTCACATGTGGTTGGGGCTAGCAGGGGGAAAGCAAGCCTACACATGGTCTGCTGAGATGTTTTAGTTTGACAGGTAATTGAATAACAAAAGCTGGAGGTGAGAAAATGGGCTAGCTGGGTAAAAACAGAAAAGCTGCCAGCCAAAAAAAAAAAAAAAAAAACCTGACTGAAGGGTGTGAAGCCAGAATGCTTGCATGTCTGCATATTTCTGCCATCAATGAGTAAACACAGCTCCAAAGGCAGAGCCAGTCATCTTCCTCCAATGACTGGTTCACCAAGTAAATGGCACATCCTATTATGAGTAATTCTTCATTTTCCAAATCAAAGGGATGGTTTAATTCATACAATCTTTGCAGGAAACCAAATGACTTATTACAGATTTATGTGTAAAGATGATGTGATGAAATTATTTTCAGTGCACGAAACCATGGCTAAAGAGCCATTCAGCCCTTTAAGAACAACTACAAGCAAAGAAACTGAGTTACTGCGTTTACTTGCGAAAATGTCTATCCATAGCACATAATCAGTAAATTAATACATACTTCCATGGTGCTCTGAGAACAGATCTGAAACAGGCTGTATTTTACAAAATGTATTTATCAGTAGAACTATTAACTTCTGCTCTATTCGCCAAAACAAGCATGCAGCCAAAATTCCTGATTTTTTTTTTTTTTAAAGTGTTTCATATGTATTACGTAGCCCATAACAATAATAAAAAAATACCTGCAGACTCTGTCTGTAACATTGTTGGGACTTCTCTTGGTCTTAGACGACCAATTTCACTGCCGCTATAGCGAACAGGAGTTTCTTCATGTTCTGCTGATTTGGTGGGGAGAAACTGCTTCATTCCTTTCCACCACCCTTCACGTAGATTTAAAAAAAAATAGTAAGAATGCATATGTCCTGTGTTGTAAGCTACTGAAGAGAAAGTGTTTTATACTACTGAGATTACTTTGTAGTAGCAGGTAAAGAAAGCAATTACCAGTATTTGCATGACCAATCAGGAGAGTCAAAAAAGACAAGACAATGTTTAACAAAATTTGAAGCAACCTGTGAGAGGGGTCAGAGAGAAGGTCCACAGAGTTGTTCAACATTTTCTGAAATTGCATTTGGCTGAATTTATAACAGACTTGCATACTGAACAGTCATATTTAAACAATCAGGAAAAAATCCCGCATGTCCATTATTAATATTTAAATACAGGATATTTTAACTGTAACATTCTAATTTAACAATGCTGGGAACTATCAGATGTGGACATATAATAATAAAAGTGAGGTCTTTAAAAAGATTTCTTGCCTAAAGGATAAGGTGTATAAAACTGTTCAGTAAACAAATGCACAGATGTGGACTACCACAGTGGGGACAGGAAAATGAAGCATAGCCAGACAGACAGTAAGAACCCAACTGCTGCACCAGGTCTTTACACTCTAGGCATAAGAGTTCTCAAAGGCACTTGGCAAGTGCTGCTCTGCAGAAGTGTCTGGTCTCAAGTTAACGGGGAACAAGAGTGCAAGAATAGAAAAAAAAAAATCTACCTAAAAGGGTATTCAAGTAATCCCATATTCTTAATTAGGCAATGAAGATAGCTAAAACTTGACAGACCTGCCAGGCCAAGATGAAAGGCTTTTTTTTTTTTCCCCCAGGAGAAAAAAATACCAGCTACTCATTATTAAATGTGTAAAAACATTCCTTAGAAATGAGTTTTTCCCATCTTGTTGTAATTAAGAGGCTCTGAACTTTGTTTATTAAAAGAAATCTGAAGCTGTGGCTCTGACAGGAGAAAAGACATCTATTTCTGAAGAAAATTCAGAGACCCAAAAGTACAGTCAAGTCTGCTCAGAAAGGAAATTCAGAGTTCACTCTGCTACATTTATGATAACCAGACAAAAGTTTCTGCAAGTGGAACATATCTATGTTACTGCAATTTGAAATAAATACATATTAAAGCAAGAATGCCAAGTAAAGGATTTTATAAAACCATTTTGTTACCTGCACGATCCCAGTAAGGCAGATCATAAGTGCCTTCAGTCTTTTTCTTGCTATGAGAGAAAGAAAAGGGAGTATTTTAGCTAGTGTGCTCATCAGAAGATGCAACTGTCCCCTTTGCTGTAACTGGTGGTCAAGTTTAAGTTTCAAGGCCGAGCACCAATAACCTGGCTTTCCATTACCAGTCTGCTGCTACTGGAAAAATCAATGTTCAGGAAAAGCCCTTTCGATGAAAATAGTTAGAGAAAGCAGTTTTCATCATGCTAGCTATTAAAATGAACACTTCCTCACAAACAGAGCACAATTCTGGGGAGAGGAAAAAAAAAAAAAAAAAGCCTTTCCAGAAATGCAGCCCATGTAGTTCCCATAGTAATACATGCAAAATGTTACATTCCCACACACCAAATTAACATTCATTTACCGGTTTCTCCAATGCCACGCACAAACCAAGATAAGAATCAGAGTAGTGAAGACCATCACCAATACTGGAACCAGAACTGCTGCCAGTGCCACATCTGAAAGTCATTAAACAAAGTGGTATAAGACAGAAGAGCCTCTCATCAGTCAGTTTTTAGTTTGAAAATTACTTGGAGAAAAAGCATGTCATTTTCTAAACAGTTTTATAGCATCTAGCACACTGGATCCCTGGCTATGCTACCCTGTTGGATGTGCCTACAGTTTAAACATCAATGCATTAACACCTAGCTCTTCTACATCTATGCACCGTAAGTTTTTTTTTTTTTATTATTGGAATCAAAGTTTGTTTTGACATAAATAGATTTTTTTTTTAATACTAAAAAGATATAGTTTATTATGAATAAAGAAAAGCAAAAGAGGCCAGGAATAAGGCAACCACTTAGGTTTGAGCTTCCTATAAGAAGTAAATATCACAATACTGTCATAATTAATCACAATTAATCTATGCGGGGTTTGCATTAGACATGTAATGCATGACATTAGACTATCCTGTCTGCAGCCCTCCAAAGGACACTTCATCAATGCCTACATTCGCAAGGCTCTTGCTCTCTTTCTGACCGTTTTCTTTGATAAGCAACATGATGCTGCCAGACAATGTGTATTTCAAACTTCATGCCAACATGACTGCTCTGTAAAAGATTAGCTATGTCAAAAGTGTTTTGTCCAAAGAAATTAAAATAACGAAGCAGTTACTTCTGATTAGTTCTGAAGGGAAGTCCAAGTTGCAACTTTTCCTTTTGATGAAAAATCTATTCAGTAATTAAAAGCTGACCATTGTTTGAACAACAGTTTTGAAAAGGGACACTTAGTATTTTTATCTCTTATGAAACTGGGTTTGTTTCTGCATGCAGTATACCTCTGTACATTTTTATCATAAGCATCTTTAATAAAACAAATATTTAAAAAGTGATCATTTGCTATAGTATATAACTGCTTACGTATATTCAAAGTACTATAAGGAGTTCTCACACTTCTGCTGCTTAAGTTTGGATACCTTTGGTTACACTTGGAGTCACCGTGGTGTTTTTTATTTCAGGTGTGAAAGTTGTTTTATCTGTCTGCAGCGAAGTCTTCACCGAATTAATGACGTCATCACTGAAGTCGTTGTCGTCGTTCTGAGGTGTCGGAGGCACGGTAATTTTTGGAGCACGGCCTTTAGAAGAAAAGTACTTATAAAGGTATGTGAAGTGTCTGTTAGTTTTTCACGTTTCCTTTTCAAGAAAAGCGAAGTGAACCCATTTATTCTAAAGCTTTTGTTCATGTTACGTGATGAAGAAAAGAAGAAACCGTGAACCTATAACAAGGAAAGCAAGTGACGGATGTCTTTTGAAACACTTATTTTCAATCTTGTCTTGTTACGCTTTAAGGGGATGTTTTCCAGGACAAGCCTCATAACTTCAAAAGAAACACAGAAGTACCAGTTACAGAAGGATCGCTCAGTTAAGAACTGTATTTTTTTTCCCCCCTCATTGAAAGTAAACCCACAAAGTAATCTTTACCAACGTATTTCATTGCGTCACAGATTTTGTCTTGTACAACTGAAAGGCTTTTAATTGTCTTACCAATACTAAACTGACATCCAAGGAGTTCCACTTTCATTGCAATTTTCTGGTGCCATTTTAAGGGGTTAATCCTAAAAAACCGTGCAATAATAGGTGGAATGAAATTGTTGCGAACTTCCTGATAACATTCAGTGTTCCCTTGAAATATCTGGAAAAGAATAAAAAAAAAATGACAGACTATGTTATAGAAATGTAAGTACAACGAGTTCTTCAAATATAGGAGGGAGCTGTGACCATGGAAAAGCAGGAATTACCGGTGCCTTCACACCCTGTAATAGTTTAAGCATGGTCTGTTTTATGAATGAGTATGGTATGTAATCACACTGCCCTCTAGTGGTTGCTGTCCACAAAGACTGAACTGCAAGCAAAATAAAAGGACTGAGGTTAAGAATTTAGGATCTCTAGTTCACATTCTCACCTGGAACTATTCAGAAAAGGGAGCAGAAATTGCATGAAGGAGGAGCTAAGGCTGATCAGTCACTGCTAGTCTTTGCTAATCAAAGCATCGTTGGTTTATTATGGAGACACAAAGAACTCCTCATAATTTGACAATACAGAATTGCTTTGTCTGGTTGAAATTTGTAAACAGATAGTCACTGCATGATGCAGAGCAGGCACATCTACAGACTTCTGGCCAGCTATAGGTTTTTCACTGAGCTGCTTAAAACAGAATACAGAAGACTAGGCCAAATACTCCATCCAGCAAACCATTCCATTATTTCCTTTCGGAGGACTCTGGTTCAGTATTGTGTCTTTTAGGTCAGAAGTGAAGTGTCTTTCCATGTTAGTGCATAGCAGTTGGGCTTCAGCTCTGCAAACACAGGTCTTGGATCTTACTGCAACACAGACCACAACGGAGGGGGCATAATGAATGAGTGACATGTTTATTTTTAAAATAACAGTATAGATTTTGCGAATAATGTCCAAAACTGCAGTGGAATTATATAGTACAGAATTATGGCACTTACTTACCTACACAAATGTGAAAAGTAACTATCATAAACACCTAGGATTTTTCTGCTCACTCACACCACTTGATAAATATTAGAGCCCCTTACAACTAGTAAGGGCAATCATTGTATGGCACAGCAGCTGAAGCTTCTGCATAAAATTGAGCAGCTAGAGTTTTAACACACTTCAGTCAATTCATATAGGTGTTCCATACTTTATATACAAAATTAAATATTTTTGTTATTGCACTCCTGTGTAAAATTTTAAAATCTTTTTAACAGAATAACTGCAATATCAAACAGGTTTGAAAGTAAACAGTTATTCCAGGCGACCAGCAATTCAAAAGCCAAAAACTCCAACAGAACCACCTCAGTGGCCTTTAAGGGATTCATGGCTGGGCTCCCTGATATACCCAATGTGTCTATCTCCACTTTCAAAAGACGCACAAGCCCTGTGAGTACCACTTACGTGCAAGAATTTTGGTTTGTCATTACATACTCGGTAAGTGTCCTTATGTTTGAAAGCACTGACTGATCAAATAAACGTATAAGCAAATGCAGAGAAATGCAGAGAAAAAGAAATTAAAATCTAAATGCAATATTTCATGTCGGAGCTGTATTGTTTTTTTCTTCATCTCAAATGAGTTATCAGCATTTTTATGTTTAGGTATCCAAATAATGCTACCAAATGAACTGCTAACCCATTCATGATACCAAAAGTGGCGATATTAAAAATCTGGGTACAATTGAAAGTGGTGGGAAATGCAAGGTATTTGCCTCAAAAGCATATATAATCTGTATTCTTCCCCAACTTATTGCAGTTTAGTGTTACAAGTAAATGGCTCTCTGTGACATTTGTCATGTTTTTGAAAAGTACTCTGAATTTAAGCTTATTATTATGCTTATGCATTCCTATAATGAATGGAGACAGATTAAAGGGGGGGGGGGGAGCAAATCTAGGCTGTTATTTTGGAAATAGTAATACAAAGCACTCTGCAAAATAGTCTGCATGTCCAAACATTCACAGTCTAATGAGATGTGACAAGAATAGAAAGACAAAACACTGGGTTCCAACTTACAGCAACTTTTCTACCTATGAAGGTGATTATTATTATTATTTTTAGGCTGACAGGTAGCTACAGCTCACACCAGCAGATTATTTCTTTTGGTAAAGATGGAAGTGAGACGCAAAATACATTGATGACTCTTTGAGAGGACATGCAGAGTCCAGACTGCTGTACTGTATTCTTGTTTGTGCTGTATCATGTCAGTTACCACTACTAAAAGAAGGCACAAGCAGCATCTGGATACTTCAGCAACAAATGCAAAAGTCAAATAGAAAATCTAAAAGTCTGTGTCTCTGATCTTCAGTAGCTGCCCAACATTGTCTGACAGTAAGTCTCACTCAGGTTTCTAAGGATGAGCATGGAAGAGTGAAGGCAACCAGAATCATTAATGTTGGCTACTGTCTGTAAACAAGATCAACAGTAAAGTAATTCTTTACTCCAGGCTTTTATTATGACCAAGCTTTTGATGTCAAGTGTCAGGATACTAACTCAACTTTGCCTGCAGTTCAGTATTGCCTGTTCATTTGGTTTTAGCATAAAAATTTGCTTCTGCGCTCAATACAAACAGTGCAAGTTTACTGATGAGAAATCACTTTCATACTCCATTTATACTCAAATGCCCTACAAATGCCTCTGTGCTTTTAACCGGATCTGTTCGACACAGTAATGTCGACCTGTCATCTCTCCCCAATTCAAACTTTCTTCTGTTTTACAGATAAAAACGTTAAGAAAAGGACTGCAGGAAAGCCTTAGGAAAGCTTCCAGTCTCCTAAACAACACAGACAACCATTGTTTGTCAGTTTTGATCATTTTTCAGAAAGCAATCAAATAGCAACTCCTCATTTGTCTGATGCGCAATTACGTAAGACTCAAACAGAGAAAAATTGCATATGCATCTAAAAGCAAAGCTATCTCAAATGAGGTCAAGTCAGACAGAGGAAAGATCTTCTATCCTAAAGTCTTAAACATTAACTGTACTGATCTCCCTTTTTTGCGTGTAACTAACGTCAATATTATTTTCCCTCACAGCTGGTACTTTTTGTATACGTACTCATCTTCATACATTGTACATAATGACATATATAGTGCAAAAAAAAAAAAACTGTTACCTGTAATTAACCTCCACTTTTTTTTTTTCCCCCCCCACTTCATGAACGTGCAAGAAAAAGAATATACTCAGACTATATATAATGCGACAGCAGCAAAGGTTTTCTTGGAAAATAATCATACTAAATAAGAAGTCTGAATGTAGGAATTTCTAGCTAGCCAAGATTTTACTTCAGGGCCAGAAGAGGGCACTCAAAAGGTAGTTTTTCTGTTTGTTTTTGTTTGTTTGTTTTTGGTTTTTTTCTTGAATTCTTCATATTAACAGTCTGTTAGTTCATGTGTAGATTCAAGGAGATGTACCAGTCCTGACAGTCACTAATGTCTCCTCCTTTCAGGAAGGTTTCCAGTGTGATTATGTCCTGTGGTCAAAAATCTCTTAACTAATTTAACAAACAAGATACTTCTACAGCTCACCTCGTCAACAGGAGGCTGGAACTAAAACAGCAAAGGTATTTTTAACACCTGAAATCCTTTCCAGTTTCCCAGGCAGAAGTCTGAAGCTCACATCGCTAAACTTGGCTAGGAACTTGGCTAAAACTACTCCTTGGGAAACTTAACTATAGCACTGGCCCCCAGCAGACTCTCCTCCTTAGCAAGGACCGCAAGCAAGTGCAGAGGTTTTAGTTCCTTATTTCATCTGCTGGCAGGACGCTCTGTGGCTTAATCTACTGGTTGGGGACCGTCTGCAGGATGGGGACTGGGGAGAAACAGCTATCTCCCTGCAGAGGCCCCTCTGTAAACCATTTGCCTTACGACCACAAGAGAGAGAAATTCTGGAGGCAAACTTGAAGGAGGGAGGGAGAGTGGCACCAATTGTCATATCCCACCTGGAAACGCTTAATCCATTGTAAACAGAAGACGATCAAGCATGGCTTAAGATTTACCCTTCTTAAGACTCACTGGGCTTTTATCCTTCTAAAAAGGAGCAAAGTGGACAAGGAATTGTTACAGAAGGAAAGTATGCCAAGCTCTTTTTTGTGGTTGACATCTCCAAGCTCCCTCAGTAGCTGCACAGACCAAGAAAACCAAATATATCTTAAATAGGAAATCTGAAAATGAAAGACAGTGATTTAATGAGATAGCTGACAAAGGATCCTAAATGCTAGCTTTGCTATTCAGTTTGTATATGATACCACTGGCCTATGAAAGTAATGCAAATTACAACAAAGAATTTTAAGAAAACTGAGACAATCATAGTTCCACTGAGGCTAGCAAGAAGCCCATCATTTTTTTAACACAATGATGTGAACCACTGGGAAGAACAGGTAGAGAGCATTTATCTTCTCATTCTTACTATGTATTAAGTACTGAGAAATTGTAAGGGAGAATGAGATTATCTTGTTGCTAACATTAGGTAATCTTTCTAGAGGCAAGTAAGTGTTTGCAATCTTAACATAGCACTGCATTTTTTTTTTAAACACAATTCCCCTCGGCAAGGAGAGTCTTCTGTTACGCCAAGTAAGAAACTCAACAGTATTTTGTCAAACAAAGCAGTATTAACAGAAAAATTATAAAAGGAGGAGCCCGTACTATCTATGTCCAGAAGATTATGAGAATCCCGAAAAATAATTTTGAAAATATTAATTTTGAAAAATAAAACCCACTCTGAAAGAGGTCTGATTATCCTGAAAGGGATGCAGTACCAACAGCCTCCTACTGGCAACAGAAGCTTCTTACAAAGAATATTCCCATCTCCAAATAGTCATCTCTGAATTTCAAAACTGTTCTTCAAATCCTTACAAATTTGCACATTGTCAGATATCCTTCTGTATAAATGCCGTTTATGATTTAACTTACACTGAAAAGTAGTTATTTAACATTTCCTCACCATAAAAAAAATTGGTCATACTAACAATGTTGAAATCTCCATAGAACATACCTAGAAAATGTGTGGTATTTTTACCTTATCTTTATCAATGCCGGGTTCTCTGTATACTGTCCATTTCTGTGCGTCATCACTGTATAAAATTCTGTAGGCTGACACATAATAGTAGTACTCAGGTAAGGTTGACCCAGTAGTTATAATACCTGTGAAAACAAAGGTTTCCAGTTATAGAAATAAGCCAAATACCACGTTTGTGTAAAATTAATATATCAGCTTTTTAATCCAGAGTTATATAATTGGACAGAATCTCTACTAGTCCGGTTATATTTGGAAAAGTTTATACAAGACATCAGGATCTGCAACTCCTACAGTGACTGAAACTTCATAAATCATTTTAATTTACTTCTATATTTTAGTTCTCATTATACAACTTTCCTAAGAGCTTTTCCCCATTTCTTGACGGTCCATGGCCCACTTCTGGCCTGCAGCTGCAAAGATAATGCCACTCTTCCCTGCTTTTGTACTGACAACATAGAAGCACTTTTAACAGAACTGCAGCTTCCTAAAGCAGACCCTTCAGTATCAAAGAGAGACTCATACAAGAAAGGTGTTTTATAGAAGGTTATTAGCACAGGAATTAAAGAAGTAATGTAAATTCCAGATACACCCTGGGGAGGTGACAACAGTCGGTACTAGCAAACCTGAGCTGCATAATAACAGGCAGCCCAGCTGCTGCAGCAGGGGGTACAGCTGAGATTACAGCAATTCCTGCATTTGAGGAAGAGACAAACCCAAGCTGATCAAAGGAGGATGTTTCAGGACAGCCTTAAAGCCAAGACTTCTGAAAAGCACTCTAAATTTTGACTTAAGTTGGGTTGCAAATATTACCATTAACAACAGCTGTGAATGATTACATCAAAATAGGAAACAACCAACTGTGCTGTAACGGCAATTAAGAGTCACCTGGATTTTATCCAGAACCCAGCACTGGAAAAAAGATGTTAGTGTTAGTAGCCTACTAATGCTGCTTAAAAGCCACACCAGGTTCACTTACCTGTTATTCTCTTGTCCTTATTCAAGTCTATCTGCAACCACTGATGCTCATCACTGATGAAAGCAGCCCAAGGAGGCCCAGGCCTTTTCAGTCTGGCATTTGCAGGTTTCCAAATGTTCACTTGTCCCGCTTGGTCTGACCACTCAAGAATAGATGATGCCGTAATGTGGGAATCAGGGATTACTCTAGATTCCATCCCCAGTGTCCCATAGCAACCTGAGCAATGAAAGAGGTGAAGATTCAAAATTAAAAGCAAGGTTACACAATGATTTTATTTGCTCGGAGTTTAAAACTTGACATGCAAATGTTACAAACTGACATCCAAATTCATCCTATAATGACACTACTAACAAAACTCTCTTGCTCTCTCCTGCTTTCTTCCAGTGATGCTGGAACCAAACTTCAGGTCTTCAGTATTAAATAATTTTTGCTTGCCCAGGACTAATGCGGATATTCTCTCAATTGCCGCCCATGTTCAGCACAAGAACAGAAGCCTTGGAGGAGCTGTCATAGTGTAAGAGTTCATCACATGGTTGGTGCAGGGTTGGGGAACAGACTACTTGCTCATTTATTCTTTTTTGTGCCTAAATGATTTCTTGTTTATTAAACCTACCTCAGTATCACAATGTTAATTCAAACAAAACAGTAAAATGTGTGTAGGAAGCCATGTCATAATCCTGCCCTTCAGCTCAAACACCTCCTGCAAATTAGTTGTATTTTTTGTCACCATTATTACCAAAAATTTATTTCCACATCATCGTCCTCTGACAGCTAGAAAACATCTCATAAAATCCTGGCTAAATCTCTCTGCGGTGAGCGGATATCCATTTGCTCGTACACAAATTGCGTTCTGCAGTGCCAATGGGGTTCCCCTCTCTAACATGTATTCCCTGGACATATCGGTAGAGAGCAATGTTTGCCTTCAGTCGGCCTGTCCTCATTTCCCTTCTGCTGCGGGAGCTGCCCCTCTCCCAGCAGGTGCCTGCGGCCTCCTCCATGCCCGGCCTGCACTGAGCGAGGCGCAGCAGAACATGCCCACGGGCACATTTCCAGCAAGGCCCTGCCAGTGCCCTCGGTGATGGCGTTAAGACTTTAAGACTTCCCTGTCTCTAACAGAAAGACTGATTGCTACGGCATAGATTCACGTTAGCACTTTACTCTATACACTGTGATCGTAAACCTGACTCTTTTTCATCATCTCTCATTTCCACCTAAGTGCTGCCAGTTTTCAGCAGAAATGCCTGTCTCTTTAACTACCTGACCTTGTACTTTTTGCTCTATGAGTCTTCACATAATTTCTGTTACTCGAGTCTCCAAGTCAGCCAGGTCTTCCAATACAAAAGTTTCATCTTCCTCTGCGCTGACCGCACCTATAACATTAGTAACACGCTCCTTCATTTCGCGCCAAGTCACGCAATGAACGCCTCTGGAATAACTGCACTAGAAGCTTCACCACAGTCAGATAATCCTCGTTTAAGCATAATTCATAGCCCTTTTTGTCCTCCAGCTAACTTCTGACCCACCCAGCTACACACATTTTAATCTACATCTTGTCTCTAGCCTACTCAGTAATTTCTCAGATGTTTCACTGAAATCCAGATAACCTAGATCAGCATTTCCCTTGGTGAAAAAATCAGTTATCAGAAAAAGATGTTAGCTGCACTGCCTGCCTTTGGGAAAAGCCATATGACATTTTGTCCTATTTCTTCATATATCCAAGCCATTTAATTACTTTTGTAATTACTATCAAAACATATTTTGAAGACAAAAAAAAAAACCCAGAAACTCAAACAACTAATGCGTCTGGAGTTCCCTGATCACTATGCTTAATCTAGATTATAATACAAGAACAAAACATGAAAGAATCTTTCTGCAGACAAGCAAAGCTTACTAAATACTCCTAAGTAGGAAAAGATTTTTTTAAAAGACAACTGGCAGGACAATGACGCCATATACTTGAGAAAGATCTTAAAATGTCTTAAATATATATAGGGAGAGCATTAACTTAGCACAACAAACAGGTATCTGACTAGAAGCAGTTGAATAAAATCATCAAACTTAAGTATTACATACTGTATTATTTTATTTATACACAAAGCACTGGGCAAACTAACCAAAACGAGCTAGTAAAGTAAATAACATACGTTACTGAGGAACGCTGTTTAAGAAAAACCACACAACCTAAAACAGAAATGAAGAAATAAAACACATGCACACTTATTTCTACTCAGAATATCTGTACAAAAATATCAACATGTAGTACATGTGATCATGCTTACCGCTTGTCTTGAATGTGAAGAGACTCGTAGATAACGGTCCCCTGCAGAAAACAAAAGAAGCTGGCTTTTGTGGTAGTCAGCGGGCAAAACTGAAACACCACTGTTCCTCGTTTATTTTTCTTATCTGACTCCTTGCCACTAAAACCTGTGCACACATGCCCAAATAAGCACTACTTTATGATTAAAGTCACACTTCAGATTACCAAGTTGCAGCACTTTAAATGCAAACCCCTTTTCACCTGAAATCTAGTTGAGAGCTACGATCCGTATCACAGGCTTTCAAACAAACATCCACCTGGCAAAATACAAGAGGTTCATTAAAATGCTTCACTTTTAAAATTAAGCTAACAATAGAAGCAAGAATCAGTCTCCACTTTCATTCCTGGGGCTTCTGAGAGAAAATGTCAAGTTACACTGGTTTCCCTTGCACAATATCCTTCTTCCAAACATCCACACACAGCTACCATGGAAACACCAATACATTCACTGGATGCAAGCACTGTTCTGCAAGTTCCAGTATTTCAACTAAAGCTCTCATGCTTCAATCTTGGAGAAAGCCTAAGGGGAAAAAAATCCAAGCTTTTGATTTTCCAAAAACATAGCATTCAAGCCCTCAGAACTTTCCACCATCTCCCAAATATGATGTATTGGTATTTCCAAAATCCCCAAGAATCTGTTATTCATTATTCAGATTTCATTTAACTATTTCCCCAAGTGAGTTTCCCCACAAATGCAAATAGCCTGTTCCTAACGCTGACTGAGCTCCCCAACCTAACATTAGGACTCGGGACAAAACTGCACTCTCTCTAAATTAGTAGAGATGACCAAGGGCAAGTGACCTTTGTGTATCAGATTCCTAACACTAATGTCACTACTGAAACAAAGCAGTTATTACTTAACCTTTTTTTTTTTTTTAATAACGTTTCATAAAAAAGACACGGATGCACTGCTGAATAATTCCTAAATTTCAGATTGGACTATACCACAGCTTTGGGAAAAAAAACCTCCTGTCCCCCATTTCCCCTCAAGAAAAGCTCGTGCTCCTTGTTCTGACAAAGACAAAATCAGCGCTGTGCAGTACTATCCTGTGAAATTCAAAGTTCTATGAGAAAAACATTATCCACCTTGTGTATCTATTTCTCCCTTCTTTTTATAGAAAGGGAATGAGAGTATCTCATTAAAATAAAAAAGGAGGAATGACAAACTAGGAAAAAACCTGGACAGTAAGTTGCACTCAAATTATTGTTTTCCACTGACAGTTCAGAGTTGATGCTCACACCTGTATTTTGGAAGATAATATTTCTTGCAGAATTTGGGAAATTAATCTGCAGGATCTAGAGGTTAAATAAAAAACAAAAACATTGTAATCATACCACAGCAAGAGAGCACCATGAGGACCTTACAGAACAGAATCCACCCATGGAACGGGCATCTTCTCTAGCTGAAATTACTCCCAGGATCAGACCTTGCCAAGATGTACAGTACTAAAGATAAGGAGGACATAAGAAATACACTTACACTTTTGACGTGACATTGTTGGCCAGAGAGCCTTCATAATATGGAATGCCTTTGCTGATTACAACATTAATTTGGCCACCCAGAGTATTTGACACAACGCCTGCATGAACACCAGCCATGCAAAGTGATGAGGACTTGAAGAGGGGAAAAAAAAAAATGTAATACTGCATTTTAAATAAATAATTGTAAATAAATACTACACTGTACATTGTATATTGTAAATACTACACTGTCCAGTTAAATTCTTCGTTCTGATTATTCTACAAAGAAACTCTTCTTATTTGTGCCCCTGTTATTTAGAAACTATTTATCTTTGTTTTATTACGGAATTTATAAAAACACAATATGTAGTCTTTACATTTCACTGCTTCCTAGCCCACACACGCTTGGAATGTAACACTTGTGATCAAAATTCGCTCAAGCAAACAGCAAGGTGAACAAGTCTGAAGAAGCCAGGTGCTGACTTTCAGCTTACAGTAAATCTTTTGCGCCAGGCAACAGAAGCGCCACACATAAACACACAGAAAATCTTTTAATGGAAAGCACATTGGAAGTTCATTATCTCATGATTAAGGACTGATGCCCTGCTCGTTTTCTGGTGTTTAGCTGATGGGTTGTATTTCTTGTTTTAACTCACAGTTGAACATGGCGTAACCATCCAGCAATCTGACCCATACATATGCACAGTAACACGTGAATAAAACTTGTGGATTCCTATTACCTGTGGTGTACAGGCCAGTTGAGACCAGTCTCTCAAAGCCTTTTTGCAGGACACCCTGTTCCTCCCTTCTCCCCTAGAAGATTGTTAGCCCAGATCTGCTAACATATGTGGCACAGTCACACTTTTCCTGCCCAGACACACACTGAAGCTTGCAAATCATTTACTGCTTAACCATCGAGTGTTTTAGAACAGGCTCCCAAACCTGTAACCAGGCTAGAGTAAAACTAACAAAAACCATGAATTTATTTTAAGCACTACTACAGCATCATTTTCTCCAGCCTCTCTCCACAAATTAAACAAGCTTAAATAGGCTCACAACAGAATAAAACATCTTTTAACACTCAGTCATCTCTGACTGGTTTCCTACCTTGCTGGCTAGCTGCATCTCAGAGAGCAGAAGCGGCTCACTTCACGAAAGCATTCAAGCACAGCACAGAGCGAGCTGAGCAAGGCTCTGCTGCCTCCTGGACCAAAACTAGCCCAGGGGATCTTCTGCAACGGGGAAGCGAGCCCTTCTGGCCCAAACAGGCATGACAGAGAAGTCATGTGCCAAGAAGCACAGAGACGGTCCAGTTACAAAAAAACCTTGGTAGCCCTGACTTCACACCCACCCCTGCCACTCTGTGACTGGCGACCGCGCAGAATCACAGGGGCACTGCTGCATTGCCTGCACCACATTTCCCGGAGGACTTGTGGCTGCCCACAGCGCAGCAGGGAGATAAGAGCTGTTACCAGGCACTCCTGCACTGTGCAGCACTGGGGCACGCAGAGATACACAGTGACTCTGGGGCCCCTCGCTCACACCACGACTGGTGTCAACCTGAAGAATTTTATAAGCTCTAGTGGGGTCGAGTTATCTGTGAAGGGCCATCTGGGTATTGCCCACATACCTTCCTGTAGCCATATTTAGCTTTTTATTACTACTGGGGGATCCCAGCCCTGACTTACCCAATGCAGCTTTTCATTTAACAGTTCCTGCTCCAAACTATCTCTGCTGCTACCTCGTATTGCTAGGCATGTTTGCTGCACTGCTCTGCCAGCCAGTCCACTGGCTGCTTTTTGGCCTCACCACAATACTTCAACTCTTTCAGAAGGAAATCAGCATGTCCTTTTCTCATTCACGGATGAATTTCTTTCTCATATTATTTTAAAAACAGAAAAGACTTCTCCACGGTGCCTCCTTGAGAAACAACTGCATGATGCAGCAGCCCAGGATGGCGCTACGTCCCAGGCACACCGGGGAAAAGAACTGCTTGCGGAGACTTTTCTGAAGATAATTCTCCTCCCTGCTCCCCATCCTCAAAACATCCCAAGAGATTTCCAATAAATGTAATTAGGTCTGGCTCATGCATTCAGCTCCCCTTCTCCTTTCTTTTCTACTTGTGCTTCGAAAGAGGAGCAGGGGATTCTGCAGTCGGTGGAGGTCTCCTCCCTGCGCACCAGAAGATGTCAGCAACGAGTGCTCCAAGTCTCCAAGGCTTGTGGACATCAGGGCCACACACAAATGAATCAAGGCTTAGGATATTTTTAAACCAGCAAGCAGCTCAGATCATTAGAAAGGACTGCAAGCAAAATCTGTACCTGAAACTTTGTCTAAAGTGATGGACAATTTCATTGCCTTCCCCATAGCTTGATTTCTGGGAAATTCTCTGCCTTTTATTCAGAGCAATTAAGTATACAAAAAGAAAGTCCCAGAGGATTTGTTTCCCTTATTTTCCTTTTTCTTCCACAGAAGCTGACTACAAATTTAAAGTTGTCTTTCATTTGTATTCAAGCTAACTGCTTATTAAAATAATATTTTAAGATAAGCAGACACAGAGATTTAATATAATTCTTGTCCAGATCACTAGCAAAATGATAATCACTTAAAAATAAACAGAACAAACAACTTCCAGTCCTATGGCAGGTATACTAATTCAGTTACAAGAAAAGTAGTAGCAAAGGTTATTGCAGAGTTCTAACAGAATATTTTTAAAAGATTTTAATTCTCAGTTTATAAAACTATTTATGTTACAATATTAACTCTTCTGCTTTGTGTTGTAGCCAATTTTGTAACTGCTGAGTGTAAATAGTATTTCACATCTCATTTTGCAATAATAAATTAGAGGCTTTGTATAGAGCGGTATTACGGTGTCAAGAATTAGAAGACACCATTAAAAACCTGGCTTTCTCTTCATAAACCTGACCTTTACACACTTGAGGAAGTGAAGAAAAAACAGGAAGTATGAAATAATATTTTGGTGATCCATCTTTCTCAGCAGACTTTGCAAAAATGCTCAAGTCTCTGGTATACTACGTCACTTCTTGGAAGTCGCACCATCTGAAGCACTAGCCATTTAGCAGTTGTGCAAAAAGTCAGCACCATGCTATTCACTTTAAGAGGTACAGCTTCCAGAATCCAGGCAGCAGAGCTAATGCAGGTACCTAGAACAGAATTTCCATCATATATGCAATTTTTCCAAAATTCACCTGAGCCCATATTATGAAGTTTACTTACATCTCTGTATCCATGGGGAATAGTCCCAGAAACATCAGCAAAAGGAATCACGCATCCAGCTGGACAATACTTACTGGAAGAGAAGAAAATATCAAGTAAAAAGATATGCGGACTACAAGTCTTATAAAAATGTTTTAAAATAGGCACTATTTTTTGATTTGTAATCTTATCATTCATATATCACTATGCAATGATATATCCTAACTTAAAAGACAGATCTCAAACCAGACAAAAATAAATTCAGGAAGAGAAGTATACAACAGAAGAACAGGCGTTTGAGAGGACAGTTTAAAAAAAAAAAAAAAAGGTCTCAGCTGAAACAGACAGTCCCGGTCTGAACGTAGTCAAATAATAAAGCAAACTTTTAATAATATAAACACTGCATAGCTTCTGTAAATCACTTGCACACATAAGTACCAATATTTATGAATTTACCTTATGGATTAAGACTTGCAGATTTACACATTTTGCATCTTTTAAATAGTGCATCTGAAAAGTAATGCTATTTTATAATAGCTTCCGGCAATGCTTTGATCATAAAAAAAGGCCCAAATTTAATCTATACCACTAGCTCAGCGAAAGCAAGCGGAAAGACATCTGACCTCTGAGGCAAGCTCAACGTTCGCATTCTAGTGCCATTTTACACTGCGCATACAAAAATCATTATATCTGAAAGATTCAACAGTGAACCGTCAACATTTTCACTGCAATCCGCAATAGCTGAAAGATGCTGCAGGTCTCATGGAAGTCGTGGGACTTGGAGACTGCAGCACACGTTCAGTAAGGGCAGAACCTACAACGAGAGTCCTGTTTTGGAGCTTGGGAAAATGAAAGAGAAATGCATACGTTGCACCTTGAAAGGTTTCATGACACCAGGACTTGAGTTCTCCAAAAATGTCAAGTTTACAGACTTCACAACAGTCTGCATCTTTAAACACTGCCCTTACTTTGTATGGAAGTGGGGAAGGAGAAAATAAACGACCATGTTTCCTTTATCAGAAGGAACAGCATTTTATGTCTCTACAGAACCTCATTAATTCACACCAAACTGTGTGACGGGTTTGTAATTTTTTAACCCATTTCACAGTTTAGTGTTCCTTTAAGAACTGTAATACCAATTGCAGTATTTAAGGTGCATACATGCTGTAATACATGTTTGTAAAAGCAATATTCTTTCTGTGGGAATGATACTCTAACAGCTTCTATGTGTTAGTGCAAATTAACGAGGTTCTACTGTATACTGCATGTAAGGTAACAAAATGGGACAGAGGGAGGAAGGAGGAGTGCAAATGTCAAAATTATTCAGTTCTAATCTTAATTACTTTGTTTCCTAAGCCTTCTGGACAGCCAGCTTACAATGCGGCAGGTGTAAGTAACAGAGTGAACAAGAAACATTACAGGGACTTCAGTAAAGAGAGAGGAGAGGGAGAACGGGTAAAACAGTCTTACTTGAATTCGGGTTCAGAAAAGTGACTTGCAATGTCTAAACAGGTAATTAGGTCTGGAAAGAAAAAATGTTAGGTCAAGAGGATGATAAAGACAACAAGTTTGAGTTCGATTTTTAAAAGTGCACAAAAATCATACATCTGAGCCTCTCTGGCTCAACCAAAATTCTCAGAATGAAAAAACGTTCTTATTAACCAATATCATTGCAATAGATTTTGTATTACAGTAGAACCTTGATAATTTGTCTGAGTAACTTGGGAAACCCACGGAGAACACTGTGCTGACAGGAAAAAAAGCACTACAAACACACCCACTTTTTGTGCAGCTTAATTTTAATGTAGAGCAATATTGTATAGAACCTATGAAGGAAACAAACATACGCTCTTTTCACAAGAAGAAACTGAAAACAGAAAATTAAATTAATAAGCTAGCCAAACAGGCCTGAGTTTTACATATCTAGCAGTCCTGCAGCAATGAAAACGGGCAGCACAGGGAACAGTGCCGCGTTACCGGCACTTGTGACTGATGCCTCAAATGTTATGGTTCTATCTGCTTTGTATCCGCATAGACTGTTGAGTCTAGAATACAGAGAAAAACACCAGCAAACCCACATAATTAACATTCAAAACAGAAACTCTGCATCTATTCTTTTTAGAGTTATTTCTAGCAAGGGTTTTCTCAAACTTTGTGCTTTGTAAAGCAATTGCTGGCAATCCTTTGTTTCTTTGTGCACTGTGTAAGTTATTCTTCTTTACAATCGGTGGAAGGAGATGCAAACCAAATACAGTAGCTTCTTCTAAAGGCTAGAGTCACCAAAAGCATGAGGAAAAGAATTAAAAAAAGAAATGACAAAAAAGACTAAAAAGTAGTGAGCAGATCATATAACTAAAGAGTTGTGGGAGTACAGGAAACTGGTAATGAAATAAAATTTTCCATGAGGTGGCTTTGTATAAAATACACACATGTTCCATAAGAAAACCTTTCAGGATTGTCTGCCGTCTTGATGAGTATATTCTGAATACATGTACTTCATCCTCTATCCAGATAGCTGTTTCATTCAGAATAGCTGACCGATTCTTACTTTGTTATCCAGGGAAAGCCTTGATATCGTTTTCTTAAACTACAGCAACTTAAATAGGAACTTAATCGTCCAGTTTCCTTGGCAGAAGTATTAGGAAGACTGCTTTAAAAACTTTCAATTTAGAAGTTAATTTCTGACAACACAAGACTAGGGTCAATTTGTGAGAACATAATCGGATAAATACCTGACTTGTCAGTGGTTGAGTAAGATGCAAGAAATCCTCGCCCAGAAGTGTGTATTCCACTCATGAACTGAACTGTGACTTCATTACTTCTCGATTTAATTAAACCATCCATCTGAAAGCCAAACCCACAGTATTTTCCTGAGGGAGGGGGACACATAAAACAACAAACGGTTTAAGCATCACTTTTCCATATGCAATGTAAACTCACATTAGACCTGGTATATAGTCAAAAACAAATCCATGCACATGATATTAAGGAATGCAGTCAGTGTGCATTCAAAGCAAATAGCAGCGTATGGGTACTATATTTATTTTCTCACCATCAACAGGTGGCAGCCTCTCACACCTTTAAACGTTTGCAAATAAATATGACTATCTATCCACGCATAGCCCTCATATTCAGTTTTTCAAAGACCATGAGAAAGCTATTAAAGAAAAGGACCAAGTTAGGGCAACAAGAATCATTTACAGAAGTGGATGAGAAAAAGCCCCTTCTCTTGCCTCAGCTGGTGGGGTGGTTCATCCTTGTTTACTGTTTCAGGTTTTCTGTCAACTGCTTTTCTTAATTTTGGACAACAGCCACCATCATATCTGAGTATCATTTATATAAACTGCCAATTGAACCAACATTTAAAAAAAAGAAAAGCCTGTACCAGCTTGCACTTGTTTTGCATCTGAATACCTCTCTTGCCATCCAAAAAGACTAGAAATAATGCATTTCAGAGTGAGAAGCTGGAATCTGCAGATTTGACAATATTTGCCTAGAAAGTCCTAGAATCATTACCAAAAGATTTGACATTACTTGGATGAACGGCTGTTGAACAGACCCAAGCCAATATGGAGGTCTCCAATCCTACTTTACTAGGAATAAACTATTAACCAGTTTATTAACTAGTTTAGAGAAAAGCATCTTCCTTTCTACAGCCTCCCAATGATACAAAGCATCTAGGAGCCTATTTAAGATTCTGCAGTGGACAATCACAGTTACAACACCAACTGACATATTTGTGATCTGGTAAGAATGTTCTCATATTGGGAAATAGGAAAAGAGAAGGCAGACTCTCTCCTGAACTACAGAAAATAGCAATACTAAGATAGAGGGAGCAGGATAACAATGCCCTGGAGAAACAGTTGTAAACAAATATGCCAATACATATTACATACCTTTAAAAAGTGAACTGCTCTCTCATTTACTATTACAATAAATTATACATACAAATTCCTATCATTCCTCAGTGTTCTCTAAATGTTGCTTATTCTAAATTTTTTTAAACAACACATGGGTATTTTCTAAATGAAAAACAGAAAATAGATTAACATATTTTAATGAAATTTCTGAAATTTTATAAACATAAACTCACTTTAACGCACTCTGTGAGCTGGTCATCAGCAAGAGTTATAAACAAATAAGTTTTCCTTTACCAAGGCTCCATGATGATCCTACATTTTGCTCTTAGCCGTGTTTCAGTGATTAATGGCATTCATTATGATGAACTGCCTGATTTTTCCCACTAGTGTTTTTTTTTTTTTTAATTTCATTTTCAGCCACTGGATCTTGTTACACCATTGACCAGCACACCTACCCATCTCAGGGCAGGCTATTCAGACTGTGCTCAAGACACCACTTAACCTCTTCTTTAGGCAAATACACACAGCAAGACATTTAAATCTAGCTTGGGTAAGCTCTGCTGTGTTGCCGTGTGCCACGCAGATACAGCCTTTGACTAACTGAAGATTGGTGCACCTTATGATTCACTGCAAGATGTACTCTTTTAGGCTATAAACCATCCTTCTAGCTCTTCCTTGGCCTCTCTCCAGATCTTCAAGAAACTTTTTCAAAAGGAGGCACCAGAAATGGACAAAACGTGACTGCGCGGATGACCATCAACGCTATATGCAGGAGATGTAAAATTACTAACTTAGGCCTGTGTTTATGCATTGAAGGACCCCATAGTCCTTTTGCTACAGCAACACTGCGGGAAGCGAGGGAATTCCCACTGCAGCTTACACTCTTTACTCCCCTAGATCTGGCCTTACATGGCACATATTAAACGTGTCTATCTGTAGATTGCACACTGGTGGGATTACAGTGGAATCTCATACAGAACTTTTCTAGATCTTATTTAAACTACAGGCAAATTTTACAGCGAGGATTTAAATCCTCTTTTGGTTTACTGACAAGCATTCAAAAGACTTGCAATGAGAGCTAACCCTGTGGAACTGTATTAGGAACTTTATCCGTTTATCAATGAACCAACCCACTGACAATTCAATTTCGAATCTAAGTAGCTAATTTTAACTCATTTTGTGTTAAAATTGTCACTGACTTTCAGATTTTATTTAACAGAAGCATTTCAACGTCTAATCATAACGGCAGTGTCGAATGCAAAAAATTAAAAACTAAGGATCAATCCAGAAAATAATTTATTCCAAACAAATTTAAGCCACTGTCTAATCTCTCCACTGCTTGTTGTTTCAAATATGAACATGTAAGAAATTGCATCATCTGTATCTGTCATTATGAATATTTTGTGAATTAATTTGTTAGGAGCATAACACTACACACGTTCGCTCAACACACACTGCTACCACACCAGCGGGGAACAGCTGAAAGTCAAGAGAAACAAATGAAGTAGAAAATTTACTCCATCCCATTAAGTCACTTGGAAAAGTGAATAATAGACTTATCAGAACTGGACGTTCCTTGCCATTTAAGGACTACAATGTTTTGCTATTTTAGAGCAAGCCTGGCTGTCAACAGCTCCAAGCACATACTTATTTTCAGACCCGCTCACCTAGGTAACAATTGGACAAGAGGTTTAAGAAAGCTAACACTCCACTAATCTCTTTACAAAAGGACTCGACTTAGTGAGATCAGTATTTGAATCACACACAATCAACCCTGCTGAAGTAAATACCTCTCTCTCCACAGATTAAAGCTTTAGAAAAAAAATGAAAATTAATCTGCACAATAAAATCTAATTTTAGTGAAGGAAAAAAGGCAATTAATTTTGAGTTTTAGGCAAAATAGCCACAAAGCTCTTACAAACCCTACACACACCTTGAAGCAGGTTAGTGCTATTTAAAAAAAAAAAAAAAAAGATATACAGTCAGGAAATTCAATTTGTCCTCTCAGAGAAAATTACAGACATCTATCACAAGACAGGGAATACTTGAAATACACAACTATTGAAGCCTGACATCCTTTCAATACCATCGAGATTAACAGCTCAAACCAGAGCTATTTCCATGCAAAAAGAAAGGCATTTCAGGCAGGATATATAGCTTTCTTCCCGCAGCCCCCCCGTCCCCCCTTTTTTTTAAAATCAAGATCTTCATAATTTTGGAAGTCTTCTCCACTGCTCACAAGAACTTAGTGACCAAGTCTCTGGCCAAGCTGCAGGGAATTGTTTGAGAAAGAATCACAGAGGAGTTTCCTTTGGGAGTATGAAGAATCAAAGATTATTATAAGATGTGTGTTGTATTTAGCATCCAGTTGTTTGTACGAACGGAAAGTAGGATTTCTTGTATCGTTATTCTTCATCATTTTTTCAGTACATTTCTAGGAATCGTGCCAAGAAGTAAGGACAGACATTTACATACACTCTAACAACACAGTAAATACAACGCAATTCCTTAAGAATAATTAGACCAAGAAATATTCTAGCATTCCTGACCAAGAGCTCTTCTGCCGAGCAGCAACAGTCAGTGACCCTGAAACGCCCAAGTTACCAGAGAAAGGCATCATCAGACCATTTGCTTATCACTTTTATTTTTATATAGTTACAGTTGCATCTGTACTCTCTCCCTTCACTAGAGACCCCTATAGCATACAGCAGAACATTTCCTTAGCTGTGCTTTCTAGCAATAATATTATTAATAAATTTACTAAAACTGATCTCTGATGGTTGCTTTTCTACTGTGGTGAGGAACAGACAGTGCCCCACATTAAGGTAAGTTTTGCAGGGTTTTCCCAATGAGAGGCTGAGGAAAAAATACAACTCCGATTACAGGATTATTAAAATTCCTTCCTCTACCTCGTTCCTGTATATAATACAACTTCCCTCTTTTCACCACTTCTCATAAGATTCAAAAGCCCACATAGTACAAAACGCAGGCTATATGCATGCATATACCCAGGAAAGGTCTCAGAATGCCCAAAAACCAATTGAATTGTAACAGTTTTCCAGGACTTTAGAAAATAAATGCATACCATGCACATAGTAGTTACTCTACGCTCAGAGTAGGTTAATGCAGAGTACTTAAAAGAGTAACAAAAGTGCAAACAATGTATTTCAAGTTCTGTACAACACAACAGCTCTGACCTATCTCTGTCCTGGTGGGGCCAATTCCATTGTGAACTCTTAGGTAACTCGAATGACAAGAATCTGAGCCATCAATATCAAAGTCCCCAAATTTGAGCTGAACTCTCTGTCCAGGCTTTACACGAATTTCCCATTCACAGACTGTGCTATTGGGAGAGGTCTGTGGGTAGTTTATTGAAGCAAGAGTTCCACTTTCAGGGCCCAGAACAGTGTGTCCGCATCCATCTCCTACAAAAAAACAAAAATGAGTCAGTTGTATGGCGTTCATCTTCAAAGCTTCACTGGTGACTTTGTCAGCCTGGTCTTTAGCAGTGGTACAACTTCTATTTTGGTTTTTAACCCTATTAATCATGTTGCAAGAAAGTGCCAAGGCAAGTCACACACAGATAAAACAGCAATTGTGACAAAATACCATTTAACTATTGTTCCCCAGTGTTCAAGTTCTGATCATAGCCCATCAGAGAGCTGCTACAAATTCCTCAACTAGATAAAATTAATCCATAATGACTTTAAAAATTGCACAAGCAGCACATAAAGTGCCCCTGTTATTTCATGTTCCCTCAACACCTATGTACACAAGAAAACAGGTTCTGAAAAGGAGAAACTCACTAATAAAACAAGAGCACGTCAGCTTTACTCTTGTTACTGTATTCGTAACATGATGAGAGAGAACACAGTTGGGAGGACAAGGGACAGCAAATATTTTACTGAAAATAATTGCTAGCTCTGAATATCAAACTGTTGTGGCATTGTTTTCTACTGTAAAACAATTTTAATGCTGTAATCAATCTTTTTGGCCCTTTAGGGAACACAGCGTTTCTGAGTTCTGTATAACGCATTCATTTATAACTCCAATCTGGGGCCCTCCGTCTAACATTACAGTATTCATTTTAAATAGCAGTAACAATATTAAAGAAGATTTGTTAACAAGTGGGACTATTAGCACAAATTAAGAAATCTCAAAATCAATCGAAAAAGAGCAAACTGATAGATCCACTTACTCAACAGCTCAACGTGAACTGCTGCCAGGAGGTAGTCCAGGAAGCATAAGAATTTATATGTTGCTGGGAAGTAAGAATGTTCTTAGAGTAGCATCCACCCTTACCGGCTCCTCATAAATCACTCTATCAAGATCTAACAAAGTATTTCTGAGTACAAGGCCGCATCCCACAAAATTAACACCTGCAATAACATTAACCCCAGCAAAGTTAAAATCTCTGATTTTATTTTTGTTAGCACTGTAAGCTAAAAAGTCTATCTACTGAATTTAGTTACATGAAACAACTAAGCCAGCACAGCATTATCCTTCTGAGGGTTTGACCCTCGAAGCTCCAGGGTTCTTTTGGTAGAGAGCTGTGCGTGCTACCCTAAAAGCAATCAGGACCTTTCAGGATCTTGAAAGGATCAGACACCATCAAGAGGAAAGTAATGTAAGCAACAATACTAAAGGAAAAAATCAGATTAGATAAACTGCTAAAAAAGTGTCTTCACCCCCACCCCAAATATATTTATTATCTGTAGGTCTATGTCGCTCCTCAAAATTCATGCCGTGTATGCAGTACCAACCAAATGATTCCTACAGAGTTAACATTGTGTCAAGACTTCACAGTCTAGTAATTCACAATGATCAACATTATTAGCATTGGTAGGTGTTTGTTGTAACAGCTAAAACTTACAGGCTGAAGCTGTTTCATATTACACATTTCTGCTCCTCTACTGAACTTAAAGAAGTAATCCATGCTTTATGGACAAAAGTTGTACAGATATTTAACAATGTTAACTACATTAAGAAATTCTTAACACAGATGGATTTCATGCAATACTGCATGGAATAGTAAAGTCCAATATGCTGAAGTAACTTGGGAAAAATAAACCCCGTAAAACTGAAGTATGTTTGATTAATCTGTTTGCAAAAACACTTCACTTCTAGTAAGAAAAACTCTTCTCTTTATAATCTGAGTACCTTGAAAGATAACTGCAAGTTCTGAAAGCTAGGCTGCTGCTGGTATATGTGGCATTAGAAACGGACGCAAGCTGCAAGGTTTTTTTTTTTTTTCTGCTAGCAATCTTGAATCAAAAGGATTCACCTTCTTTTGGAAAAGGTAACTGGAATATCTGCTTCTGTACAATCAAAAGTTCAATTTGCAAAGCTCTCTTTTGGCAGTATTTCTCTTTATCTGTTTTTAGTAATTTGCTTTAAAATAGTTTGTTCCATTCCCTGACACACATTATTTCCATTTGGGTGATAGCTGATGAATTACACTCTACTTAATTGACATTTCCCCTAGGCACAAAGTATTGTATTTTACTTTCCTAAATTGGTTCTAATATACGAATCGTTCCAATACGCAGTTGTCCAATGTTAGGAAACAGGTAGCTGAAGTGGTACGTTTTGTGTATTTTTTTAATCCTGGTTTCTTTCCAAAGGCATGTTATAAACCCAAGAGCAAATGAAAGACTCTTTATCCAAAACCTGCATGGCCTTCGTTTATTAGTTAAAAAACCCTTTGAGTGTCAGATGCCTTGTTAGTCACAATATGATTAACATTCAGGGAAAACACTGGCTCCTTCGCTAGAGAACCTGGCTTTTCACCAGCAAATATTCATACGAGTTACAAAATACATGGAATATACTATATTAACAACAACTATAATGATAAATAAACACTATGCCTTTATTCATGCTGGTATTTGTGGCCAATACTTCAAAACTCTTCACACTGTAGACATAGAGAATTAATTTTCAGCAGAAACTGCAATCAATTTTAAGTTATGTCCTAAATAAAAGCAATGGTCAAGCAATTTTCTGGGCTTTTCCTGTTCCGGGACAGAGACAATTAACTTTTTACTCATTTATAGGTTTAAAATATTGCCTAGGTACACTAATCCAGTGGCCTTTTGAACATGAAATCATAGCACTGACCTACCCAGTCAGATATGTTGCCCTGAGTGTATTCCAAGGAAAATTCATTGCGTGGGTAACATGTTTGCAAGATCTACAGTACCTGGCAGGTAATTACTTCTTGTTTCAATGGGACCATTACTGCAATGTAGCAACCACACAGAAACACTATTTCTTATAGCCAGGGATACCAGTAATGCACATGATTACATATCTTTGATTCTTCCCCACACTGTTGCTTCTTCAGCATACATTGCCGAAAGTCCAAGACAAAGGAGAGCTCTGGTCTCTTCTGTGACTCAAACTAGACTTAGATTGCAAATTTCTCCACTTAAAAAGCAGCAAAGGACATGCCTAACACTCAGTTAAACCATTCTCCTCCCTGATTTGCTATTCCTCTGTCCCAGAAACATGGAACAATACCAGCATTGCATTTGCATGGTGAACATGGCACACTTCTTATGAGAAAAGCAAAAGAACAGCAACACTCCCAAACAAAAACAAACAAAAACCTCTTACGTTTTTAGGCCTTAAAATGCAAATAAAATATTACAAGTTTTAAAAACAATGTCAAGACGTTTCTTTTAAAGATATTTTGCTAAGAAATACCGAGCTTTGCCTCATAGCTTGGAACATTCCATCTTGTTTCCAGCAGCTAGAAATAAAAACTTTCTAATTTGTGTCACACAATTTGCTGGAAATACCAATCTCTAATCTCCCTTTTGTTACAGGTTTTCTGAGAACAAGCAGGCCAAGATACTCCTCTGATCTGTCTACACTAGAGAACTTGCTCTCAAATCATGCTGTGAAGGAAAACAAATTCCCCTGAACTGCATCTACAGCATCATCTAAGGTCATTGGATCATGAAGTCAATTTTAAAAGTAGCTCATTCTGGCCAGATATTTTAGATCTCTTTTTTTTTTTTTTTTTTTTTTTTTTTTTTTTTTTTTTTTTTTTTGCTATGTGTTTCATTTAGGTTAGTGATAGCAGAAGTGCCAGACACTTCATGCCTGAAGAATTTAGAGATTAGCATTGCATGTCTGGCATGCAATACACAGTCTGCCAAGGACAGCATCATCATTCAGGAGCTATTTGAAATTTTCTAAAATTTACTTCCAGTGAAGCCTGCAGAACAATGAAACCTCATTTTATTTTATTGATTCTGAAAGCATAATTCTTGAGCCTCGCTGTATAAATGGTGCTTCATCATTTCTGCTAAAGTTGTATAAACATCACCCATCATCCCCAGAGACACACACATACATATCTATGTCCTTTATCAGGGGAGCAATCTGCAATACTCAGCAATTTCTCCAAGAAAAAGAGAAAACATCAGTGTTCTTTGCACTTCAGCCATGCATATAGCAGCATTATCTATTTATTTCACTCATTTGGAAGTCATTAAGTACCAAAGAATCTTTTGCTTCTGTTAAACTATGTGCATGAAAGTGGAATATCTGAGATCACGTACAGAGGCTGATATCAAGTCCTAAAATCAGTTTTTCTTGAATGGGATGACAGCATCTTTTATCAGCCATCAATACACAGCTGAATAGGTCCCCTGCTTTCTTTCAGCCTTCTCCATCACATAACAGACCTACTGCACTTGCACAATAGATCAACTACTCAGAAGCACTGGCTCTATTTTGCACGTACACATTACACCTGACGTTTGCTGCAAGGTCTGCACACATGCATTGAACTTCGTGTCCGGAGGATCACGGTCACAGCAAATAAAAAAGCACAGATCCTCACTAGAACAGTGTGCTCGAAACATTGGCGCCTCTTAAGAAGCTGGTAGAGGAAAGCAGACTGCCGTTGTCAGGAGAATCATTCATCTGCTCTGGAGGCGCCTCCAAGTGCAGCCTGGATGAATTATCCTGACAGATTACATATGACCCCTGGGCTATGGCACATTGATGCCTGATGTAATCACACAGACGATTTGAAATATCTTCTCATCCCCGAGCTCTTTACATCAACAGAATACAGAACTTGAACCAACACAAACACATCAGAATGCACTGGATCAGAAGAAAATGTGAAACTTAATGAGAGGATACTGCACACGCAGTAATATCTTATTAATACCCATGAAAGAGATTAATTGACTTTAACTAAAAAAGATAATCAGATTAATTAACCAAATATTTTTTTCCCCCTGAGACTGGCTGCTGTTAATGACCGCTAATGTTGTTCTCACTACCAAAACATGTTAAAAATGAATCGGGAAGACTAGAGAATGCTTTCCTATTCCTTACTTGAAGAAGAATGATAAAGACTTCAGATAGTTTAAGATTACAGTCTATAAAGCATAATTGATGCATATCAAAACACTAGTCTCAGTTTTAACGTGTAGCACGGCCTTTGGAAGAGAGTCAATTCAACCAATGGGTTTCCCGAGAAAATTTTACATACATAAGCTATTTTAAGTTTATGACCACATACAGGAAGTAATTAAATCTTTCTTAACTAAGTGATGGCAAAATCAGATCCATTAGAGTTATTTAAGCAAAAAGATATTTTAAATCATTTATCTTATTTCTAAATATGCAACTCTTTCTGATTTGATACACTACTATGATCCCTCCTCCTCCGTTTAGCTTCTGTGCACTCTATTTGCCTACTCTTTTTGTATAAAGACACTGCATCTCCTTTTACCCTTCACAGGGGGGACAAGAAAGTTCGCACAGCCACTAGAAAATTTCGATGAATAACAAACACAGAAGCATTAAGGCCACAGAAAAGACAAACTGAAAACAGTTTTTTTAGTGTGTCTCTTCATTTTTTTTAAATGTTCTTATTTCTGTCCTTCAAACACAGGGCTGTTTCTACCAAAATCCACAGAACCATGTTCTTCAGGGGGCCATCTCCTCATCTGTCAGAGTTCATTTTCCTAACGAGCTGACAAACACAGTCCACCTTCACCTTTATGCTATTCATTTGCCTCAGTAAAACACCAATTTGGAGCACTTCATCCCACTGCAGATGTTTCACAACACAAAATACCCTACGCCTTCACAAGCAAGGCCATAGCTCAATAAACACTTCAAGGCACTTAAAGTCAGTGCAGCCACGAACAAAAACAAGCCTTGTCCTCCTCCTGCTTTTGGCCACTTCTCACACCCTTCCTGGCCCTGGAGTGAGCATTTCTGCAGCCACATGGTAAACCAGACCAA